TTGACCCGGGGCCATATTGGAATTCGCGGCGAATGCACCCTTGTTGTTGCGGATCTTTATCTCTGGTGTGAGTGTACGGCGGCAACGCCGAACTTCCTCTTTTCAGATTTTGTCATCTCCTATCTCGACATTCCTCCCTCGTCTCTCTCTCTCTCTCTCTCTCTCTCTCTCTCTCTCTCTCTCTCTCTCTCTTTCTCTCTCTCTCTCTCTCTCTTTGAATGACGATGTGTCTTGATGCTTGTCCCTCTCATGAATGGGAATGGATTTGTGTGCTCTCCTGTGTGAAGGAACTTCTTCCGGAACTCTTCCATTAGTTTCCTGGGTAATCCCCGAATGTCGAAGAATTGATCGTCTTGTCTTGTGAACGGTGGATGCGTGTGTACAATTCCCTCGGTTGATTTCCGACCTATGTATCCCTGTCATTTTCGCACCTTCCACAGTGAATGTATGTATGGAGATGCGTGCCTTTTCGTGTTGATTAGATGCAACACTCAACGGGATTTTGTTCGAGAATGCAAGAGTGTTTAAATCTGTAGTTCTGAATGCACTGCGCATGCCATCTGCCTTATGCTGCACAACATCTGCAACCGATCTTTAGGGCGGCCTCGAGAACCAAGGCGCCCGGGATCAACGCCGCGGTGGCTTACTAAACCTGAGTTGCGGGTCGGTCCCTCAGTTACATGCATGATCAAGCTGATGAGTGTTTTTTCTCCCTCGTGTCGATCAAAATTTATTGGTGGTTGTGCGAGTGTTTTTCCTTGATGACGTCTCGGGATCTTTGCAATTGATTGACATGTGGACTGACCAACGCCCTTCGATCGGGCGTCAGCGTCCCGTATCTCCCGTGTCGACGCGACCTTTTCCTTACGACGAGGAAAGGACACGTGTATGCGAGTGGGACGTACGAGAAGCTGTCGCACGGATCCGCGGACGTTATTACTTCCCTCCGGGAAATCGTTGTTCAGGGTTCGTAGAGGCTGGGTTTGTCATTATCGATACACACTTTCCAAATTACTCAATACTGTTGCCATTTAACGAGTTGATTGTCATCCTGTGGACGGCAGTAGAACCCCACTGGCCTCGCATTCTATGCACCGAGTGCCAGCGCTTTGAGCGCTACGAATCCAAGGGTTTCCACTACCGCGTACGGAGTGAAGACGATCACAGGGAAAGAGCCACACGACTGAGGCCCTCCACGTCGGACTTAGAACTGATTGGTGAACGATGTCGGGACTTAATACGAAGACGAGACACGCGAAGCGTGCCGAAACTTTTTCGCTCTAAACGAAGGGCCGTAGCACGGTGGGAAGTCCGACAATTCTTTTTGGATTGAATTTGTATCTCTCTCCCCTTTCAGGCTGAACCCTCGCGCGCATTTTGCGACGTGCGAAAAACGGTCGACTTACTTCATCGGACCAACACGGGGGATTTCAGTTCCGTCTGTGTCCCCACACTCAATTTCCAAAAATCCTTGGCACACCCCATTTTGCTGTTTTTCTAGGCCCCTTTTCCGCACTACTAGCACTCCGAACGGAAGACAGCACAGGGCGTGAGGTTGGTATCAGAACCGACACGTGTCGGTTCTGATGATAGTAAGTCGAACTGGCGAGAGGTAGAAGAAACCCTCAACCGGCTCGAAGAGACCGATCAGTAACCAGGTCTCAATCTGGTGCGGTTGTACCCGCTATGCCAATGGAGGACGGTGTGATGGTTAGCATTCTTGCCCCCTTCCCCGTTTTTCCTAACCATACTCACCCCGAAGCCTGGGCGGAAGTCGTCGAAGCTCAAGGATAGAGCGTGGGTGATCTTCCCCGCGTTCTTACCTTCTTACTTCGTAATACAGTGCAGGACTGGTTTAGAAAGCACACGTGGGTAGATTGAAATACTTTCAAACAAGTGTTCTTGGCTCGATTTGATACGTTCAGTGAAGATGCCGCCTTGTACGTACTCAAAAATCATTCGCAAGGACCAGGGGAATTGCTGCCTGATTTCGTGGATCGATTTCAAACCACGTTGGATAAATGTGGGCGAGATGAGAAATCCGCTCGAGATTTGTTCATCGATCATCTACGAAGTCCGACGCTAAAAGGGAAGTTACAGAAAAAGGTTCCTCCGAAAACTCACCAGCTGTCGCCTATCATCGCTAAAGCCCTCGAGTTAGACCTGACCGATATAAAGAAATATATAAGTCAGGGAGACGAAGACATCACAGATACGATACATGATGTAGCAGCTAAAAGACGATCGAGGTTACGGGCAGTAGAACGGTTTTATCCCCATGACCAACCCGACGGGACCGCCTCTGATATCCCGCTAGCATCGTCGTCTTTGCATCCAATGAATCCACCGGTAGCGGCAGTTAAAAGCCGAATCCCCAATGACTCTCCCTCTCAGGCCGTAACAAACTTACATCTTCACAAATGATCCATACGGCCACCACCAAGCAATCAGAATGGATGAGCAACCTGGTTCAAATGCAGGCAACTCATGGAGCGGATGAAACAGATAATGAGCAGGCTAATTAAGCCCAACCACGCCCCTGCCCGACCTGCCCCTGCGTCATTTCCCCTCTTGCCCGCCCCGCCTATACCTTGGTACGCCCCACCGTTCCCTCACCCAACTAATCCAGCAGGAAAGATCAAGTGTTTTAACTGCAAACACCCCGAACATTTTGCCCGAGACTGTCCGCAGTCGAAACGTAATCAGCCCCCACCAGCCGCGGCCCCTGTAGCTCTGAACCAAGGACGAGTGTTGCATATGAGCAACCCTCCCCCTCAACGGTTGTTGCTTCCACCTCGGGAGCTTCTTCCTCCTCCGACGCTGCTGATGTGGTCGATCCACTCGAGTATCTTCATCTCGCCGGCATGGTCGGAGCTATCCGATCGGCCCATGATGATCTTGAATGAGTCAATCGCGAATCCAATCCCGGTCCACAGTTTCGGACTGGAGAAATTGATGTATTAAGAGCGCTCAAGCAGTTGGATATCCGTGTTCCGATCCCGGTGGGGCATTTACTCACCATCTCCAAAGCTGCTAACGATAAACTCCTGCAACATTGCCAGAAAAATCAAAAGCGCTTCACGTACCAGCGAATACAGCGAATGTTGAAGAAGATTTCGTTGGTAGAGAAGGATCACTTCGTACGAGCTCGACCAGTGTTGTGGAAAGACGCTGAGTGCGATTGTGAAGTTTGGGGCAAACCGTTTAACGCCCTTATCGATACTGGATCTTCCGCAATGGCCATATCTTTGGACACAGTAAGAAAGACAGGACGAATCGGATCCATTCTTCCTCAATCTGGCAAAGACAATTATGTCTCTGCCGACGAGGAAGCAATGAACATCGTGGATACTCTTGAGAATGTGGCTGTGAAGGTCGGACGAGTACACGTCCTTGTTAACGCACTAGTAATAGATGTGCGCTCCTATTCTGTGTTGTTAGGATTGCCTTGGGCGATGGCGGTAGGTGGTCGTCTGCATTTCGACTCCAAGCAACTGGTGGTCACGCAAACTTGGGGAAAGCCTCAGACTGTCCCTTTGCGGATTTCCACCCGGACGGTAAAACGAACTCCTAACTCGATCCTGAGGAACCTTCTTCCTCGGACATCGGTAGCGGAATCGGGGAACAGGTGTATGAAGAAGAAATGCCTAGTGAGGATGAATGAAAGCACCTGGTCGAACTTTTGGAGCACGAAATCCCCGAAGAATTTCGAGTGTGCCCCCGAACCGCCCGAAGCTTCCACGTGAATTCGGAAGACGGCCCGCCCGCGCCTCTAGAAACCCGGATCAGTCCTTCAACCCTCCTCAGGGAACCCATCCTGCAAGTATCTGACCTAGCAGACGATTTGGAACCCCCTCGCACCCTGTAGGAGGGAGCGCTTTTCTTATGAGCACGCTACCAACAGACAAAACAATATGTGGATGTTTCTGTTTTCCTACCAAGATCTTTGCTAACGATGGGAGCGACCATCGCTTTGATTAAACAAGAGGCCGAGCACCGGTAGGCGACGTACCCGATCTGATGCAGGAAATGGCGGATCTAACAGGACTAACTGTGGAAAAAACATCGGCCGGTTCAGAGACTGATGCCGAAGCCAAGGAAACCGAAACGATCAGCCCTGCTGAGTCACAGATGATTGCGACTGTCTTCTCTGTTCGCACTAGTAGTTCCGTTTTTTCCAGTGTCCATGAGCGACGGGAAAGGCCGGCTGATTGGGTCGACATATCTCTTCAGATCCCTGGATGATCGACAATCTTCATCCCAAACCACGTCCCCACCGAACTCCAAAAGTCGCTAATTAATGTTTTGAATGGCTACGTGGAAGTATTGAGTGTGCGCGATAATGATATCGGCCTAACTAACGTGATTGAACATGCCATTCTCACAGGGGATCATCCACCCATTAGCTGTGTTCCTTATAGGTACTCACCAGCTCAAAGAGCGGCCACTTTTCAGCGGATCAAAGAATTTGAAGCTAATGGATGGATCGAACCCGCTATAGGACCATGGTCTTTTTTCGTAGTGATTGTGCCTAAAAATTCCGGAGGAATACGCATTTGCATCGATCATCGAAAGTTGAATGATATCACAATTAAGGATGTGTACCCTCTCCCCCGGATTGACGAGTTATTGGATGCGATTGGGAGTGCTCGATTTTTTAGCAAGTTTGATGTTCACCATGGGTTCCATCATCTTCTTGTTCGAGAAGAAGATCGCCCGAAGACTGCGTTCGTACTCTTCGAAGGTACGTGGCAGTGGATTCGGTGTCCGATGGGCATCTGCAATGCTCCCGCAACTTTCCAACGAGCCGTGAACATGGCCTTTCAGAACTTCGTGCGGAAGACTCGTCTGGCGCAGAGTATCATTAACTACTGTGTGATTGTGTACATGGATGACATTTTGGTGTATTCGAGTTCCTACGAAGGGCACGTGCAGCACATCGAATGAGCGTTGCATGCGTTACGAGATGCCGGTTTCAAGGTGGCGTTCGAGAAGTGCCAGTTTTTCCTTACCACCATTTCCTTCCTGGGACACGTGGTGACAGACCAGGGACTCAGGCCGGAGCCGCAGAAGGTTGCAGCTGTGAGAGATGCGCTGGTGCCTATGACTATCACGCAAGTTCGCGCCTTTTTGGGCCTGGCCTCGTACTACCGAAGGTTCATCAAGGGCTCCGCGGCGATTGCGGGACCCCTCACGAATCTGCTGCGAAAGGATCAATCGTTGATCTGGACGCCGGAGTGTGATCAAGCATTTTCGAAACTCAAGGCCGCCCTCATTTCGGACCCGGTCCTTATAAGGCTGGATCCCGAAAAACATTTTGTCCTCATTACTGACTGGCAGCCAGAGGCAATTTCGGCGATCCTGGCCCAGGTGGGACCAAGCGGACTTGAGTGCGTAGTGGAGTATGCGTCCAAATCGGTGCCCGTCTGCAAGCGTAACTACACCGCTGCAACAGGAGAATGCTACACGGCTCTATGGGGAATCAGTCACTTCCGAGCTTACTTGTACGGGCGGAAGTTCACATTGGTAACTGATCATGAGCCTCTGTTAGCCCTGAAGAAATCTAAGGATTACTCGGGCATGATCCAGCGATGGGCAACGGTGCTGCAGAGCATGGACTTTGACATTCGTCACCGGAAACATGAAAGGCACGGGAACGCGGACGGATTGACACGACTGCACCGACCTGAGAAGGTTCCGAAGAATGAGGAGGTGATTCCGTGGAACGAACCGAAGAAGGAGAACGGACCTCGGTACGGCCAAGTGGAGATCCTGTCAAAGGAGTAAGTGACACAGGGTCCATTTTTTTTTCTGCCCCCTCTGCAATTCAGTCCCATCTCTCCCTCTCTGCCATCATGACTACCCCATCCGTCTCTGTGACCCCCTCTTCTCCTACTAATTCTACCCCTCTCACCTCCTCCGCCTTCTTTGCCACCCTCCCCGATAAATTCTGCTATTTTTGCACATGTATTGCACGGGTTTAAGGGGTTGACTGTCATCCTTTCGAAACCGGGTTTGTCGATTGGGTAGAATGTGCCACGTGTGTCAATCGTGCACACGGGGCCTGCGTTCGCTATCGGACGAGTAGCAAGGAATGGAGGTGCCCCCTGTGTAGAATGGTCAAACTTCCCACAAAGGTTCAATTCGAGGCCGCTCGAATGGACGGACCCGAATATGATGAGAAATACCGTCGAGCGGAGGTTTGGACGGATAAAATTTTATTAGCTAAATTAGCGGGATTATCATTGGGTCACCTCACCAAACATGACAGACGTAGGGCTACCGAGAGATCTCGGGACTATCGATGGATCAACGGTCATTTGGAGAAGCGTAAAACTGACGGATCGGGTTCATGGCTGACAGTTACTCATCCATTTCAGAGATATGATTGGACCCGATCTGCTCACGAAGAGCAGGCCGCTCATTTTGCGATACGTGTCACGGAGGCAACTATAGACCAAAACCGATGGTTCTGGTCCAATATACGAGATGATGTCAAATATGTTGTCACCAACTGTCTGGTCTGTGCCGCGGATCGCGCCCCAATACGGGGACCGAACACGATAGTACCTACGGAAGTAGAACGCCCCTTCCAGCGAGTCAGTATGGACACAACAGATAGTGACGTGCCACCTCGCCCAAACCGCTGTGAATGTTTTATCCTTTTAGTATTAATAGATCATTTTTCCAAGTACATCGAGGTCTACCCCTGTAAGACCCGCAAGGCCGCAGAAATAGCCACGTTCATCGATCGTTTCCTCTATACCCATCTAGATACGGAAGAAATTATGAACGACAATGGGTGTGAATTTAAAGGCGAAGTAGAGGAACTGCTCGCGCGAAGGGGCATCACGCTCCGACATACGGCACCCCACGTGTCTCAGTCGAACGGATTGGCCGAAAATGCCAACTGTATGATTAAAATCGCCCTTCGCAGGAATCTTGCGGCACATGACACGCGTCCGTGGCCCGAGATCGTGTACCAGATCGTCGGAATTCATCGGGCCACCCCTCATGAGTCCACGGGGTTCACCTCCTTTCAGCTCCGCACTAATAGCCTCCCCTGTGTCGACTAGCGGGGTAACTCGAAAATTGCCGAAGCAGGGGGTAGAGACACGCGTGCCGCCCTAAAGGCCAAGGCCAAAAGGTATACCGAATTAATGGAACGGGCTATCCCGAAGCTAGCCCGAAAAAGACAGAGGATGACCGATCTGGCCCATGGTAGGCAGGTCCGTAGCTATGAGGCTCGAAATGGAAATGTTGGGCCTCGGCATCAATATTATGGGACCTAGTGCAGGTACGCAAATGTGCACGCGACCGGAAACTCGCTCCCCAGTTTTCTGGCTGTTTTCGCGTTGTCGAGCTCGGACTTAACGGCGCCAACACGGTGCGCATCGCGCCCGAGGCTAGTGCCAGCCATAGCTCTGTCCCCATCGTCCGACATACCTCCTACCTCCGACCTCTCCCTCCCTCTGATCTTCCACCTTCTTCCTCCTCCGAAGGCGAGGAGAACGACGACGATCTAACTCTTTCTCCGCTCTCTCCCTCCTGCCCTTCGTCTTCCTCTCCGTCCTCGCCATGAGCGTCATCACGGAGTGGGCTCTCGATGATCAACTGTTGCAGCCACGTGGCCACATCTCGGAAATTCGGCAAGTTCGTCATCCAGGGCTTAATACGGATCTTCGGCGCCTGGCGCAGTTCTTTTGCGACGTAGGTGTGTGTGCAGCCGTCGTGTTTCGATTCGAAGGGAGTCGGCAGGCAATAGTGTTGGCGGAGGTGGTAGCGGTACATCGGTGAGTGGCTCCCGAAACAAGCCACATCACTACGGTCGCGGATTTCAGCGGCGACATCAGTACGATCAATCCATTGTGGCATACAACGATCTTGACCTCGCTGCGAGAGTGGACGGAGCAGATGTCCAACGTGTGGTGGCACAGTCTTGCCCTACCAGAGCACAATCTCATCCCGACCTTTTCACCTGATCTTGACGAGGTCCGCCTCTCTCCGTGCGAGCCAGCGGTTGCGATCCCCACCCTCGTTGCTTTCCCACGCCCCCAATGAACCGCACCACCCCCCTCGCTCCTCTCTCCATCTTCGGTCTCCCCTCTCTTTTCCCTACCTTCTGGCAGTCCGATCTTCATCCTCATTTTTCCCTTTCGATCGAACCCCTTTCCGTCCCGCTTCTTAATCCCGGGCATTGGCGACTTTAGCGCGAGACCTTTGTCGAACTGTCCATGTGTCTGGTCCGAGTACTGGTGACGTGGACGCGGACCAACGAGCATCCCGCGCGGCTCGAAAATCTGGAATTGCTGATCATACAAGCTTGGAGGACTAACGTGGAGGGTGATCTCCTCGGTTTTTTCTTCGGATCGGTGCGGCCGGGACATCGCCAACTAATCGCTCAAGAACGCCGATCGTGCAACTGGCGGACGATCTCTCTCCTGACATCGTTTTGCAAAGCGACGACAACCCCGCTCTGCACGTACTCCCGCGAACGTTGGATCCGTATCTTCAGTGGAGTGCATGCTTGGAAGAGTCTGGGGACAAAGACTCTCTACCGTCGCGGCAGGAGTATCTGAAGCCATACGACATCATCAATCACGCTTTCTATCCGAAGGCGGAGGAGGTGGTGATAGAATGGGAGGAAAGTGACGACGACGAGGAAACATCGGAAGAAGGAAGCTATAGCGAGTATAGCGAGGGCGAGCAGAGCGAGGAAGAAGAAGAGGAAGAAAAAATTGGGTCTGAGTGGGAAGCCTTGTCGGAGGAAGTGACGTTTACTGGCACGGAGGCGGAAGATCTTGAGGCAGCGCGCAAGCGAGAAGAAGTTGCCACCGGGAAACGCCAACTGAAGTTCGCCAGCGGAGCAAGCCTGCGCATCGGTGACGATCCGACCAGGGATCCGGAGCCGCCGAAGCCTGAAGATGGCGACCCAGCAGCCGGCACTTCCAGCACGTCACGGCGGAGACGGAGCCGATCCTCCTCCCCCTCCAGCCCTACCCGTCCCCCAGTTCGTCCACGTACCGATGCGGGGGATAGGCCTTCGTTCCCGGACCTTATCCCACTGTCCCCTTGATTACCTTACCCTCGAGCAGATCTGCACCCCCGTCACCTTCCCCGCCACCCCTTCCATCCCCATCTCTCTTCCGTGATTTCTACTCTACGCGCCTAATCGCTACTGTCTACCCCCACCGCTCCCTTCAGCCCGCTGCCCCCACGTTTTGTATGCATATCCTGTTGTTCAGCGCTGCGTGGGACCAGTGCAACGTAGTCGAAGTCTACTGCGTAGCCACGGGGACGATCCCCACTTGTCGTCACTACGATTTTTTTCGCGTAGCGCTTTTCCGCACCCTCTCCTCCCTCTACCGCGACTACCTCACCTCTCTCCCTCATAGCGGCGATCGCTTCCCTCGCTTTCACCGGATCATTCGCTATGAGGAACTTCCGGTGACAGTAGAAGGATTGAATCGCTACCTACCCCCACTCCCTCCCCATCGTCCCTACGGACTTCCCTCCATGTACCGCCTCTACTGGCCCATTCCAACAAGGCGGTAAAACCCAATCGCACGACCATCCCCCCCCCTCCCTTCACCCAATCGACAAGAGGAGAACGACTCGAATCAGTAAGCTTCGCGAAGATCACGCCGTCGACGATGACGTCAACCTACGCTCTGATTCGACGGGCCGTGACAAGCCGGGGTGCAGAGTACACGGAGAACCAGCGGACGATGATGGCGTCACCTGGACGACCTTCGACGATTCCAGCAGCACGAGCCAATGGATGGCAATTGAAGTTGGCATCAACATGAACTCTGGCTCGATTACCTGCTTGGTTCCTCATGCATCACTCTTCTCCCTCCTTCCTTCTCCGCCGTGACATGCAATCAGGAGATCGCATAATTTTGGAACCCCCTGCGCGTCACATATGTGACGAACTACTTCCCGAACCCGTGCTATCTTTTGTACCCCTTTGGTTTGAATTTTTCTTGTATCATACCGACCCCGTTTCTTGATTTCGGGCGCCGCGTTTTGGGCCCCCATCTTTCGGAAGCTTTTGTGATTCTTCGGTTGTGCTTTTTCTTTTTTGCAATTCGGGAAATGCATAGGAATTTACGCGCGCCTTAGCGAGCGCACTGGGAATTGGGCCCGGCAGTTGGGAATTCCGGGACAAGCGGAACGTCAACGTGTCCTTTTTGTGTGTGAATGTTTTTGGTCGCGTTGGGGAAAACTCTCGGAATTTTGTGGGGATACGAATAGGCGTAGGACTTTCTTTTCCCGCGTTATCCTTTTCGCGCGCGGATATGGTGATTTTAATTTTGAATTGGTAGGCAAGCTGTAACTGTTTCAATGCCTTTTTCTTTTTGTTGACGGCGCCACGCATATGAAGCCTTCTTCCCCCCCCCCCCCCCCCCCCCC